ATGTTATAATTTAAAAATAATTAATATCTTCTAAATTTGTGTTATATTTTAAATTTTAATTTAAGACAATACTCTAACCTACATATAAGACATTACATTTCTGTACTTAACATTTAATATATACACATGGGGAAATAAGTTTAAAAGGAAAATATATCTAAAATTAAAATTTGTTTAATGTTTGTCTTAAATGTTACATAAATATATACTATATGTTTGTTCATTTTTATTTTAATATAAGCGTTGTTTTGAGTTAAGATCTGCATAAATATGGAAATAGACTAAACACTGCTTATATTGTACTGGATATTTACAATTTGGAAAAAAGAATAAATGTTCACATTTTAAAAATTATTATTTTAGAGGATTTTACAATTTGTTGTTAAAGAATCGATGCATTGATAAACATGTTAACAATTGGACACTAAGACAAGTGGACAGACATTATGTTAGAAATAAATTAATGTAATATTGAACACAAGCATTTAAATCTACAGTAAATTTATACAGAATTCTTTTAGAATAAATTTATATAAAATGATTAATGTAAAATAAATAAGATAATGGTTCCGGTAATGGCACTTACCTGCGTTACAAACCAGTCCTACATCACAGTCTTGTCAATTAAATGGCAATTATATTAATTGGCGTTTATATTATTTTGCACACAAATTCAATTGATTTCTATGCAAATTCTTTAAATGTCATTCATTACCAATCAATCCAAATGTATTGGCATTAAATCAATGGCACATCAATATCACCGTAACTCAAGATCAACACATTTTTTTGTTGGTTTCGTTAAATTGAGTGAAATTCTTGTAAACCCTAACGAAGAGAATATTGTCTCACTTTCTCACAATCTCTTGTTCTCTCTTTCTATCCCTCATTCCCTCTTCTCTTCTCTCGCAATGCATTTTGAGTGCACTCTATGTTATATAAGGCGACGAACTCATAGCTCCTGATTATCCATTGCGCAGAAAGTCAGAGCTGCGAAGGCCAGGGATGTGAGAGCTCTGATCGATATGGAGGACTCATATGATCACATATTCATCATATAGTCAGTCAAAATAGAAATATTTTATTTCAACCACAATTCATCATAATAAGTATACTTTTATAAAAATGAAGTCATCCCCCCATCCTTTCCCCCAATTCATTGATCAGTTTTTAGTTCATTGATTTAAGTCTCTTAACATCACAATTAAATTTTAAATATTTGCTGCAAACATCAAATGAACAAGAACCAAATAAATTTGGCTATTTTATTTTTAAATTAAGTTTAAATAAATTATAATTTAATAAAATTTTATTTATATTCAATATTTTATCTAAAGACTAGAGGAAATATAATTTTGGCACAAATAAAATTATAAAATTGTAAAATATAATGAAAAGGTAAGCAATAGCTGTCAGGCTTTCCATATTAAGTATATGTATATAAAGAGAGTGCGATTGTGATTAGGGATCGACAAAAGAGACGAGTATATAACGGACGCCTTTAGTTACGCGAAGACCTTCGTGGAAGTGAGTGAGTCTTCCCGGATGTAAGAAAGTCCATCCCAAACGAGGATTAGTTACACTGCAGTTGTAGCGCACGAAACGACAGCCTCCGCCCTGTCGTCACAAAATTCATTTTCAAATAATTTATTACACGATTAACTACTGATTACCTCGTAGTCGATGTGCGGAGAGTTGAGTGCAATGTTGACGGTATAAGTGGAGGCGTCGTGATGTGGCCGAAGGGACGGCTGTTCGTTCGGGTGATACCGAACCACAAAATTCATTATTGCTTTTGGCGGCTAAACGACAATTAATTGTATTTAAATGCATTCAATTATCAATGGTTTAACTCACGTCGTGATGATATCCAACGAAGAGCTTCTCCTGAACGGGTCTAATGTATTCCCTTAGAAAGTAAAGCCAGTGCTGTTCAAAGCCTACTTGACTCATATGTATATCTCTGGTCGGCACGTTCTCATAACCACCGGCCAGTCGCGGGTCCTTCACATGCAAAATAAATATATAATCAATTAATTTGTAATTGTATTGCATTTCAATGTTCAAGATATTAACTTAAGCTGATTTCAAGCGTTTGGAAAACAGTTAAATCAATTGAACAAATTTCTATAATAAATTTGAATACTAGTTTTAATTAATAAATATTAACCTTGTTCTTCCCTTCAGACCATTCGCCGTGATTTTCCATTATTTCTAAAAAATAATGAATTATTAAATATAATTGTGATATTTGTTGACGCGTTAATCAAATACAAACCAATGAGTTGTGTACAGAAAGCAGGCGTAACAACAGGAAACCAAAAGACATCAGGACAGGGCTGTTCCACTTGGGTTTCCGCTTTTAAAATATTGCTGTAATCTTCATGAATATATCGTTTTTGCCAATCCTTTTGATTTGAATAAATCTCATAAAAGTCCGGATTTAACCGATTTGTATCGAACGTCGAACTGATCACTAAATGACCGAAATCTTCAACATTTGTTACAAACATAAAGATTCCGTTATCTCGAAGTAAAGCACAGAAAGTCATGTCTGAGTCTAAATCCGGGTATTTATTGCTATAAA